TTGTTGGATTCAGCTTCATGATGTGGTTCTTTCTTATGCACGTCTTGACCAGGTTTTTTATCCTGATGTGCCTCCCACTTGTTAATGTGAGAAGCAATCTGCACATATTTCTTTTTGACCATCTTCATCAGTTTCGTGACAGCTTCGCTCATATGGGCCAACTATTCTTCAATAGACATCGCTCCTGTCACCATGACTTGCATGACCATAGAATAAGACTCACCTATGGACGCCGAGGGTTTCATGGAAATCTTCTTTTGTTGGTCGCTAGACTGAGATTTATGGTATGAGCCTGTGCTCGAATAAGCATCTAAAATAGGCGAGAGTGAACGTTCTCTTGAATTCTTTGTTCCGAGAGTTTTTCTTATCCGCCCCAAAGGTATTCTTCTATGCCCCAAAGGAGGCCAGATTGATAACCGGTTCATTCCTTCGGTTCACCTCTTTTGCCTTGGCTTGAGTCGGTATAGAAGTGACATGTTGAGTTGCGGATATCACCTTGGCCTTGCTTCGGGTGACGACTGCAGCAAAGTCTTCGCTTGAGAAGGAGGCGCTCACAGTTTTGCCTCTTGTCGCCGGAGCGGTTTGAATCTTCTTGGAAGCCATCGTTTTTGACGTGTTGATTGATTTTGGAACTACAAAAAGAGATGAGAGGCAGAGATAGTCCCACCGGGCATGCCAAATTTGTAAACATGAATTTCCTGCGACAAATGAGACAAGAACACGTGTACAAAATAATATTTGTATTAATGAAATTTAGGGTCACAATCTCTATATTAAATCCTCTGATTCGATCTCCAAAGTGTTTAAAGAAAATTTGTGTTTGATACAAGGGTCGTAGAGACTTGATCTTGATCAAACAGGTAGAACAAAGCTTGTTCGGTGTTTGGATTTTTCTAGGGTGGAGGAATCGGCACGTATTTGTTGTGCTTAGTGGCTCTTCCAAAGTAAGGTGAAGAATGCAGAGAGTTTTTTGTTTCTTTTGAGTGCTTGGTCTGTCTAAGCCCCTTTCCTTCGTTTTGAGGCCTCCTATTTACAGGCCCCTGCAGGATGCTTGACCTCAATAACTTTCCTTCTTTAGGACCTTGCTTTGTGAGATTTTGATTTAAAATCAATTCCGATAATTTGGCAATTTAACCAAATTATCTTCAATTGATTGACTTGATTAATATTTGATTTAAATCAAAGTCAATCACAAAAGATTCTTTCCTTTAAATTTGTCTTCACTTTGAACCATTTGATGCACTCCATCGGATGTCAACACATATCACTTTTGACAACTAATTCGATTTTGATGAGTCATACATCACATGGGCGAATTATGGAGCCCACAATTTAATCCACCAAACCTAATTATTATCTTATTTAACGAAATTTATTGCGCCAAAATTTCATTGTCTACACCATCCCAAAACAAATTGGCAATGAGGGTAGTAACCGAACACTTTACAAGCCTGTGTAAGGTTTTCTAACCAATTGGCAATGGGGTACGGCGGTTAGGGTGGCGTGGGGGTGGGTAGGCGTGGCAGGGATAGGAGTTGGGAGAGGGAGTTGGCTTTCTGGTTTTGTTTAATTTTGGATTTTGTAAATTTTTAGTCTTTTTTTTAAAAAAAAAAATAGATTGAAATAAAGTTTTTTAAAAATGTTATTAGATTTTTCAATGTTTGCTGATGTGTCATATTTTAAATGGTTAGATTATTAGAATGGTTTAGATGTTGCAAAATACGCCTAAATGCACGAATGCTAAATATAGAGACTCGGGCTTTGTTCAAAGACATCCACTTGTTTCAAAATAATTATTGGGAATCGATTGAAACTGTATGAAAAATAGGAAATTCAATTTAGAATCTTGAGCGGTCGAGATTCATGGGAAGCAAGAATTAAGAGAGACTAGAGAGGCAAGAGAGCAAGGAGGGGAGAGTGGCCTTTAGGAACCCAGATCCTCTGCTATAATTTTTCTGCCATGATATGCTTGACTTTCGTTCTTCACATGCCACCTTATTAAAATTTAATCTAAGGGATTTAAACTAGACACATCATCTTTAAAATAAAACCCCAATTTACTTGTACTTAAAAATAAAAAAAAGCCCTAACTTGACTAACTCTAACTTAACGTTCTAACAATTTTTTTTCCATCTTCTTTCTTCTTTGCACATCTCCCCTCTAAAATCTGAGGGCTTATCCATCTTTTCTTTCCCCGATTTCCCCTATCAAAAGAAAAAAAAAACGTATCTTCCCACATATCCATTGAAGATGATGAGGGTGGTTCCCAAAGTCAATTTACAAGGGATATCAAAAGGAAAAAGTTCAAGAACATACAACTCAACAATATTAATCAAAACAATGTCATAGTCACCACCAATTAGTTTTGGTGAGACATAGAAATTTTATGAATTAAAGGGGCGCATGAGTAAGATTTTTGCACAAAAAGGAAGGAAAGAAAAGAAGAAGATCATGTTGTTGGAACCAAAAAATTAAGAGCATGTGGCAGGAATCCAAAAAAGAAGAATAGCATGTTTACAGGGGTTTGGGAGAAGGAAAGTTTGATGAGAGCTTGAAAAGTTAGAGTTAGTCAAATTAGGGTTTTTTTAAAATTTTAATTAGGAGTAAATTGGGTTTTATTTTAAGGATGATGTGTGCAGTTTTAATCATTCAGATTAAATTTTAATGAAGTGGCATGAGGACGAAAGTCAAGCATATCATGACAGAGGAAATCATAGCAGAGGATCTAGATCCTTTGAGGAAACGACAATACTAACACCAAGTTTAGATTTTTTTTTATTATAAAAATAATTAAACTTTATGTTGTAATGAGCTATTGTTAGATTGAAGTTCCCCATCACCCCTTTTAATCTATGTTTCAATCAAAACCTGCTCTTAAATCCTTCTCCCTAATGCCGCTCATGTTCTTTGAATTTGATTCTACATCGTCTTTGATGGAGGTTGTTGCAAATTACCTAATTGTTCTTTGGCAAGGTTGTTGTTTTCGTTTATTTGTTAGCTCTTATGCACGTGTAGATCGTTGAAAATCATATTTTCCCTGGATCTGATACAGATGCGGTGGTGAGTGTGGCTGCGACGACGCTTCTTCAGGTGGTGGTGATAGGGTTCGTCTAGGCTCATGAGTTGTTTTAGGGTTTTGGTTATGTTGGGTTTGTGAGCTTTGTTTGGGCTTATAGTTAATTGTGGTGATGTAGGCTAATAGTTTTAGTGCGGCTTTTATCTGCGTTAGTTTTTCTTTTAGCATGCTAGTTGGTTGCCCTATTGGGATTGATATTTTAGATGTTTTGTTGATGTCTTTAATTGTACCATTGAAGTTTATCGAATGAAGTTTCTTTTTGATAAAAAAACAAAAAACAAGGAATGAGAATCATATCAACGTCCTTGGGGTATTTGATAAAGAATTTTTAGGTGGGACTCGCGTATTTAATGATTTCACGAGAAGCGAGGAATGAAAATCATTTCCTTTATTTTCATGCCCATTACTTGTAAGTAAACGTGCCATGTTCCTTAATTCCTCTATTCCTAAGTTCATAAATTCATAACTTACCCCATTCCTAGTAAGTAAATTTAAAATTAATGGAGGTGTAGAATTAACATTTCATTAATCATAATTAATTGCAAGGGGTTTGTAGCTCAAGTGGTTAAAATAATTTATCTATGCATCCTAGTTAATTGCAAGAAATTTGTAGTTCAAGTTCGATTTCCCCTATCTCAATATGGCTTGTATGGAAGAAAAAAAATCCCATATATTTTTAAGAGCTACTAACAAATAACACCAATTAGAGGGTGTAAATAGAATAAATAAACTTGTGGGGACTGACTTTAAGTAGTTGGGGTTGAATTGAAATTCGTCGAGTTTTTCTATTTAAACTCCACACTTTTCTTTGTTCACCCAAATACTTAAATCATTAAGCTCTTAAGTTTTATTATTGTGTAAAAAGATAAAAATTGTCATCCAACTTTATACTTAACTCTAATACATCTATATACACATCTCACTCAGGGATAGTACTACCAACAAGCTAACCTGGCAGTAGTCCAGGTTTAAAGACTAAAATAGTACACTAGCCTAGCCCAATCTTATTAACTAATCCCCACTAGGATGGCTAACTAAACAAAAAAAACCCAACACTCTTATCAATCGATTGCACCAGTTCCAAAAATGCTTCTTGTTAACTCCACAAAGGTCTTTTTCCTCCATCTTTATATTGGGCTATTGTTTTTTGGGGAATTCTAGTAACAACTATGCCAATTTGGAAAATGACTATTTTGAATATATATTATTTTAAATATATGTTATTTTAATAGAGGTATCAAATACGAGGTTTTTGAGAGGTAAAGCTCATTATGTATCTTGTGTATTTTTTTGTTATCAATGAAATCTATTTGTATTGTCGAGTTTTCAATAAGTTTGTAAGTAAGGTAAATTTAGCCTACGTCATTGTAAGGTAAATTTAGCCCACGTCATTTTCAAATCCTGAGTCCGTCCCTGATCCCACCACTCTTCATATGAAGTTATAGAAAAAGAACATGAAGTATCCTAAATTTGCTTCTAGTATGCCAGTTTGTTTGATGGTGGTAACTTACATATCAATTTAACTGTCAACATTTCTATATCAAAACCTCCTAATTCATTCTCAAATTTTAAATAAACAAAAATAAAAATAAAAAATACTGCTACACATTTGACAACAATGTTTTTATCTCTTTAAGTAATGTGAGGTTGGTGAGTTATATATATACATATATATATTACGGGGTGTGTATTTAGGGGTAGTTTGAGGAGATAGTGAGATTATTTTAGAATTTGTGAAAATTTGAATTAGAAATTGAGGTGGACTTTAGAATATGGGTGAACATCGAGAAGCGGGGTTTAAATAGAAAAACTCAATTCGTCCTTCACGTTGCAATATAAGTTCAAATTGAACCATAAAATCCGTTTCAAACAAATAAAAGAATGGAAAAACATCTTCCTTTTCAAGTAAAGCTCTAGTCTTGGTTTCTGAACCTTCTACTTCAGCATAGGGCTTCTCATGGACGGGATGAATGAACAGGAGAGAGCCATTGCTTGGCTTTGGGCCATTGAAGCCCTGGCAAGCTTTAGAGAAATTGATGTATCGCTTTTACATGGTATCCATGAATTCATACTTTCACTTCAAATGTTCATTTTTTATTATTATCAATCTTTGTGACTGAAGAAGGATAGGGTTATTCATGGTGTTTGTTACTTTTTGCTCGCCTTTTCAGACTTGGTTGAGATGGCTCCAGCTTTACCTGATGATATGGGAAAGAATGCAAAGGAAAGGGTCGCTTTGAGATGTTTGGAAGGTTTGCCTAGTCCTTGTGATGTGATGAGCAGCAGTGATGTTCCTTTTGCCCAGCATTCAAAATGCAGCTTTGATTTATCTGAAAGCTGTGAAAATGTTCTTAAACGCATTGTAGATGAGGTAAAGTCCTGCTCTTTTTGGCTTTAATATGCAAGTAATTTGGATGAATATCTGAAAGGAGGTGACTTTTGAAGCCATCCATATTCTTATTGTATTTATAGCTCCATTATGTATACCCTTTAGGATTCTTGGAGGTGGGAAATATGTTCAACTGTTAAAGGTCAAATTTTTCTTTTGTCAGACACCAGAATCTGATCTGAGAGTGGGTGGACCAGGGCTATTGAAATGGGATATTCGCCCCTTCATTATTCACAAAAGAGCTTCTTTGCCTAAATGTGCATTGAAACAGGTATCTACCTCTTTGGATTTTCTTTGTATTTTTTCTTGGTTCAATCAATTGCCTAGAATTGGTTTGTGGATTTTCTTTATGAGCAGCTGAAAGATTCGATTATTGATGGCACCCATCCACATGCTGATTTCTTGAGAGTAAAGAGTGGTTTAACACGAAGTTATGGTGATAGAGTTCCTGTGGGTGGTAGTAATACTAGGCTCAATGAGAGCTGCTCCGGTGCTCAAAACATGGGAGTCAAAGGGAACTCCGATCCTTTGATTAATCAGAGTGAGAATAAACTATCGGAAGAAGATCCAGATAATGCAAATCTATTGCCTTCCAAAGGGGATAGGATTGCCTCAGATGCTGAAAACATGGAAGATGAAAACCGTAGTAGCATAAATGATTCTGATGATTGGCATATAAACTCCAAGAAGATGAAACAAGATGGCTCTTATGTTTTACGGTCTACAGAACAGAACCAACTTCCTTTACATGGAAAAGCATGTTTGGAAGATTCGTCTGAGAGGGAAAGGTGCAACTTGGCAGGAAATCATATGGGAATGATGGAGGAAGAAACAGTCTTAGAGGATGGTCATGATGATACCGCCTCAAATAGAAGTGGACAGAGCAGTAGCGATGCTATCCATAAGAGTCAGTCAAAAAATCATCTTAATGCCACTTCAATGCCTGAAGAAACATTGTGGGATGAAGCCCATCAAGATTCATGTGTTGGTCAAGCCGAAGATGATGGTGGGCTTCATCCTAAACCAAGAACATCAGGTGTTGCTCCTCCAGATGGAACCCAACTTAATGTTTCTGCTAAAGTATTCAATTGTAATAGTGAGCATGATTTTCATATTAAAGCACCGCATCCTGCATCCGCAGATGGATCCCAAGAGAACAGCATTGCTGAAGATGGCAAGGACTTGGCTAGGGAAAACCTGGCAGATGGAAACCGTAATAGAGTAATTCATTCTGATGATTGCTATGTAATGGCCAAAAGGATGAAATGGGATGCCTCATATGTTTTACAGTCTATAGAGCAGAACCAAATTCCTTTACATGGAAGAGAACTGTTGGAAGATTCATCTGAAAGAGATGTTCCACTTTCTGGGAGAGAAAGGTGTGACTTGGCAGAAAATCAGATAAGAATGATGGACGGAGGCAAGGTCATAGAGGATGATCATGATTATCATACTGCCTCAAAGAGGTGTGGACAGAGCACTGACAATGCGGTCCATAAGAGTCAGTCAGAAAATCCTTGTAATGAAACTTCAATGACTCAAGGCACGTTTCAGGATGGAGCCCCTCAATATACATATGTTGATGAAGCCAAAGATGACGGTGGACTTCATCCTGAACTAAGAGCATCCTGTGTTGCTGTTCCAGATGAAACCCAGCATAAGGTTTCTGCTGAAGTATTCAATTGTAACAGTGAGCAGGATTTTCATATTGAAGTACCACATCCCACATCCACAGATGAACCCCGACAGAAGAGCATTGCTTATGAAGACAAAGATGATAGGGAACAATGTCCTGAAACAAGAATATCAGATACTGCACCTCTAGGTGAAACCCAGCATAAGGATTCTGCTAAAGAATCTGATTCTAACAGTGAGCATGATTCTCGTATTGAAATAGCATGTCCTGCATCTGCAGATGGGTCCCAGCAGAAGAGCATTCCGGATGAAGCGAAAGAGCTTTTGGATTGGCTACGCCATTATGAGTCAGAGACATTAACTGATAATGATGGATTTCATGATGAGAAGATTGATGTCGCCATGAAGAAGCATGCGTTCTTGAGTTCTCAATGCACATCTAGTCATCGTTCCTCAGTGAAAGCTGACTGGACAGAGAGAAATCTTGGTAAGAAGAGTAATGAAAGCGATCAGTTGTTGATTTGTAAAACCAGTGATTGCCCTGTTGTGGTGCACGAAAATTGGCTGCGTTCCTCAGCCATTCATTATGAGAAGGGTAACTTTTACTGCCCCTTCTGTATATATTCTCTTGATCTTACTGAATACCTTGAAGCTAAGAAAGAAACTTCCCTTTTAAAGAAAGACCTAGATGCGTTTATTCATACACTGGAACATCAGCCAAAGGAATGTCTTGGAAGACCAAACAACAAAGAGAATTTCTGCATGAGGAATTTTGATGAAGATCTTAATGAAAAAAGTCACCAGAATGGGCATTTGGGAGAGAGAGAAGAAAATCTAGGAAAGCAATATGAAGAACATGCAAATGAAGTCAATGACTTTCAATTTCAGAATATTACAGGTGATGAGCAACATGTAGCACCTTTTGCATCACGTGTTGATGTCAATTCAGAGTGTGGAGATGAAAGTGCTACTGCAGTTTGTAGAAAACTTGATGTATCAGCTGGTAAAAAGGAAGAGGAAGAAAAGGTGGCCCAGGAGTGCATACCTGTAGGTGTTCCTTTGTCCAGTAAAAACACAGAAAACCTTCTTATTGACCAAGGATATGAAGTTAATTTTGATTCCGAGCAAGTTGATAATCAGAAGTCTAGCACTTCCAAATATTCTATAAGACCCCGAAGGAGCAAAATCCCTTAGTAAGTTATTGCCTTTCAGCAATTTCTATTGTTACAATATCTCACTTCATGCCTTGAAATGTAAAATACTTTGTCTATCTGCTCAAAGAATGTCAAAAACAGTCAGTGTTTATGTTGCCCAGAGCTTTAATTGCAGTCCTGTATTTTCCCCAGTCGACCCATACACTTACCTATTGGTTATAAAGCAGTGAGTTGAGGATTCGATTGTAATAGTTATTATAGATAATAAACCTTTTTTGTGTCTTGCAGCTCATTCCCGGCAACTCCTCAGTTAAGGCGGATTAAAGTTCCATGGACAGTTGAGGAGGAAGAGATGCTCAAGGTTCGTAGTTTCCTTTCTAATGTTCCTTTATCGACTCAAGATCATGTTCTACTTCCAATTTACACTATATATCTCTTCTAAATACCTGATTGTAGTTATAATTGCATATGTGTTGTTTCTATTTATTTTTTTATTATTATTAGACTTTTTAGATATGCTGTAACATCTTTTATATTGCTGCAGAAGGGAGTGGAAACAGTTTCAAGAAATGATGAAGGAAATATTCCATGGAAGCAAATACTGGAATTTGGTGGTTCTGTGTTTCTGCATAGTCGTACCCCAATTGACCTTAAGGATAAGTGGAGGAACATATGCAGGCGAAGGTCGAAGTCGAAATGAAATGGTCAGTTTACATATAAGAATATGCTCTCTTATTTTGGTCCACCTCTAAAATTCATTTGGCAGTGTCACAGTACCAATTTCATATGAATAGTAACCGCTAACCATAAATAATGAACTAAACGTTTGAACCACAAAATTACTTAGCTTGTAGCAGTTTAAAGTGCAAACTTGAGTATATTTATTTATTTTTTTGAATCTTTATTTCCCAAAAATAATTTCCAATGTTGTGATGCTAAATTTCCTCTTGATATTGATATCAGGGATGCATCAATGAACTCATTTCTAACTCAAATCTTAAAAGCTATTAATTATGACTGAAACATTAAATGATTTCAAACATCCGTTGATCCATGTTGTCTCTTCCAGAATCTTTCCTTTCCAACACTTGAATGATCTAAAAATTCCCAATCAATGGTTGTACGCTTTTTGAAATCAACCCTAAAAACTATGCCATCCTATTTTGTCTCAGATATTATCCATTGGGATAATTTCAGACCACCTTGTTTTTGTTCTAACCCCTGTTTTGCTCTATATCCCTGAAATAGCCATGGTCTCTACTGAAAATGTCATTACTTGATGGTATGTCTGCCATCTTTGCCCAGCCGTTGAAATCCCCCATCCCCTTGGCGATTTACTATAATATTTCTCAGCACAACCCGTGTCCAGATTCTGAAAAATGATGATGAATGTGCCCATATTGTTTCTATATTTGTCCATTCAAACTCTTTTGCATTTCCTCAAAAATCTCAATTGATTGTTCACAATGGCACCATTTCCTTTTTTTCATCCTCTCTCTCTCTCTCTCTCTCTCTCTCTCAAATGCCATCTATTTTAAAGGCGATGAATTTGATAAGTGAAGAGAAAAGTAGTAGTTGTGGTGGATGACATGATTGACACAGCTGGTTAGTTTGTAAATGCTCTAATCCGTTTTATTAAGTAGAACATAAATAGTACCTTTAACAAATGATATCCGAAAATGTAACATTATTGCTCTACCCCCTCACAAAAAAGGAAAAAAGAAGATGAGATATCAATGTTGACCTTGCTCGTGATGCTAACATGTATTGAACATTTGCACTAATAATATTGACTGCAACAATGTTTTAGAAAACTGAAATAATTTATTGTGTTCTTTTCATCTTGAAACATGAATCGCAAAACAAGAAAAACATTGAATTGCCTTCAATAGTTTTGTTAAACTATTGCATATATGATGTGGCGTTGGATTGACTTAGTGAAGGAACAATTTTGACATTCATGGAACTTAGTGAAGGAACCCTTATCAAGATTATGATCTTAAACTTGGTCCATGGCCTGAAACCTAAATAGTGGGCAAGTTCTGAAAACTAGCCACTTTTTGCACCCATTGAAGACTTTTAACCATTTCTTTAGAATTTAGATATCCCTTCTCCCCCCTCGAGTAGTGCTCGAAATCCTTGAACCGTGGCTAGTTTTCAAAATTTGCCAAAACCAGTGCCTATTATGTTTTGCCACCTAGGTCATTATAGTCTGGCTCAGTGAATCAGTATCCAGGATCTTAGTGAAGTTACCGGTTGCTAAAAGTCCAGCTTGGTTTGAATGAGCTGGAACATGGTCTTTGGACCATTTTGACCAGGGAACTTGAAGTCAGTCTGTAGCAAGATTATCTTGCGGCATTACTTCACATTGTCACAAAATTGAGAATCCTTGTAAAGATTTTTCCCTTGGTTTATTCACAGGAACATCTGATGGGTTATTTTCCTTCTGTTTGCAGATTTTAATTACTTTTTCTGTTATTACTTGTGAGCTCAAATTGATAATGGTCTCCACAGTTTTGTGGCAGTGAAAGATGGAGAGGCACATTTTTTGAGATCAGGCACTGTTTTTGGAACTTAATGTTTACTCCAAGTTGGGTGGGGACTATGGAGATGGTTTTTATTATACCAAGGGGAATATGGCCAGAGTAGTAAGTTTGAGTTGGTCATTTCTGCTGTGCTGATATGTTATTTTGGGCTTTTTGACACTTGCAGTAATTTCCTCATCGTGTCTCAGTGGTTTATTACCAATCCGTTAATAGAACCGCATGTAAATATTTATCAACAATTAACAAGTCACAAGAGTGTCTTGTTGCCTTAATCATTATATATATATATATATATTAAAGCGTAAGAGTCCATTTGGCAACATTTATTTATTTTTCTTTCTTTAAGTGTTAATTTCAGTTTAGTTCCTGTCACTTTTACCCTGTAAGGCATGTTAAGACCCATGTTTTCAATTTTTACATTTAAGTATCCGCACCTTTTGAAATTATCACAATGTGGTTATGCTATTAAGCTGTTCATAAGAAAATCCATTAAATGATGATATGGCACATGCATAGCTCTTTCTTTTTCCTCAAGTACAATACTGTTGAGGCCCAAAAAATCCAAGGTTGGCCCCAAATATATTTTCGGCCCAATACAACACCAAGTGGAAAATTCTTATTTAAGCAACATGCTACGCTACAAGCTTAAGTGGGCTCAAGCTACGAGAATGTTTGGGACTTACTGAACGGGTTGTGGTATGAATGGTTACGAGCATTCACGAGGCCCATTGATGGGCCAAGAAGTGGAAGTTTTGGGCTGTTTGGGAGCACCAAAACTCGAGCTCATTTTTTGAGTCCAAACATATGGGTAAGTTTGAAAGAGGAGTGGCCCAATAGCTTAGGAAAATATCCAATAGTATGCAAACACTTGGAAAAATCCCACATCAGCCAAAATATCCAGCACCTCGATCAAATAGGTTGTTTCCAGCAACTTGAGCAAACTCACAAGCTGTTGGAAACAAGATACTAATAGCCCAGCCCAGCATCGTGGAAAATATCCAGCATATCTGTCAAAACCATCAAAACCAAGCAAACCCATGTGCTGATCACCTTTTGACTAGCACCCATACCCATTTTTTCCTCTTCAAGCTTTGATGAGAAAACAAGAAGCCAAAGTGGGTGGCTCCTCACCCACATGGAGAAGTCTAGCTGCCTGAGGGCCTTGGAACTCCAAAAAGCTTCATGCCTACATGCTTAGGCTAGGGAAGTTTCACCAAATGAGATGGAATGAAAGAAAGTGAAGGAAAAAGGGGAGAGGGTGACTTGATAAAATTAAGGTTTTTAGTGCCTATAAAAGGAGCCACTTTCTACCAACTCACCTTGGTTACTCCAAGCCTCCCAACAACCATGAGAATTCATCGAAGGCAAGCATCCCCTTTTGGATGCTTTGTTCTTCCATCTTTCTCCTTTCTCTATTTCAAAACTCATATCCAAAGAGAGCAAACATCATCTCTCATCTCTGGAACCCTTCGATTTTAAGCCTTGTTCTTCCATTGCTTCTCATTTTCTCTTATGTCAAATCACCCAGGAGCTTGATGAAGCTTTCGTCAAGCTACTGGAAATATGCTAAAGCCACCCATGCTTCCATCTTCTTCATCTATTTCCATAAACACACATCCAGAGAGCAATCATCATCTCTCATCCTTGAGACCCCTGCAATTTGGAGTCATATTCCTCCATCCCCTCCCATCTTCTCTTTTGGAAATCGCAGCTCTTTCTCTCTCTCATGCTAAACTCATGAATCCTCAGCTCCCATGCCACAAGCTTCTCATGCCAAGCCAAGAATTTATCTGTAAGCGACTGTTGGTTTCATTAGTGAAGAAGACCAAAGTGTTTCCTAAGGCTCAAATACCCTTTCGAAACACTCTTGGGGCCTGATCTTTGAACTCAAACATAGAGGCAGCTTCACCTATTTCTCTTTTTTGACAGCCCAAGCGCATTCATCAGGCTGTTAGAATAAAAAGACCCCAACAAATACAATATTGATAAAAAAAATTTCAAATTTAATTTAAAAGTAAGATTTAAGTTATTAGAAGAACAAAAGATATAAAAGCTAAAAGAAACTCTCCTCCTAGGGTTGTAAATTGGATTGGAAAATCCAATTCCAACATATTCCGGTCCGAATATTTCCAAAAAAATCCGACTCTGATAAATCCGATATCCGAAAATGCAGAATCCGATATTTATGATAAATGCCGAAAATTCCAAAGTTCTCCGAACCTATTCCGATCCAATTTTTCCAATTTTTTTTTTTTTTTCCGAAAAATTCCTTAGTTTCAAATGATATATTACATTATTTTTAGTGTATAGGTCTTATATATGTTTCATTTCTTATTTGTTATATTTTAGTACCCCACTTACAAATATTCATATATACTAACATAGGCTTGGCCAAAAAAAATATACTAAACATAGTAGTATATAAGACTATATATTTTTGGCAAATGTGCTTTTTTGAATATAACAAATTTGCATGTGTGCTTGTTATATGCAAACGTACTACATATGTGGTAAATGTAGAGAGTATCATACTATTTCATTTGGTATATGTAGAGAGTATCATACTATTTCATTTTGTATTCTATGTCTGTATGTATTTTTAAAATTTTTTAAACTATCTTCATTTAAACTTTAAACTTTCAATTATAAAATTATTTTTATAATTAAAAAACAACATATAAGATAAGTATATTCATAGGAGCTTGACAATCATAGTATTCCAATTGTCTAGAGCGAAACTAATATATTGAATGCAAGTTTAACACTCTTTACACATATAACATGTAAGCACAAACTACTTTTTTTTTTTTTTTTTTCTAAGCAGCATGAGGTCTTTGGGTCAACTTGCATGCACTTCGACAAATCCCCACTTGCGGAACTGAGCCTACCACTGGCCATCATGTAAGCACAAACTAAAATATCAAAAGACTTCCAACTTTTTATATTTTTTTAAAATTTTATCTCCCCTCTCCTCACCCAACAAGAACCTTAACATAATATACCAAAATTTAGACTAAACTCAAGAAACTAGATTTCCTTCTTGTTTTTTCGAAAATATATTTCCTTTGCCAAGTATTTCCTTTTACTTTTTGTCCTACATGCAATGCAATATAATAAATACATTTCATTGACCCCAAAAGCTCCCAACCTGTCAGTATTTTCATCAAGAACCCCTGACCCGTACCAACCAAATTAGTCCAACCACTCACCATGGTCCATCGTAGAGCATGGTCTGTGACCTCAATTCCGGCAATAACGACCAATCTTTGAGCCCAAACCCCCACAATGCTTTTTCCAATTTGATTAAAGCCTATTGCAGCAGCAACAACACTCTACTCACGTACAGTCCACTAGCTGCTACTAGCAAGGCCTAGTAGCTTCTGATTAGCAAATCTTGATTGAAAGTTTGAAACTTTTGAAAACAACCAAATGGGTTGCTGTATGAGCACCACCCCTGAAAAGTCCTCAGCTTTAGGTCCTCAAAAGCACTAGTCTTTGAGAAGAAAATCAAGCAAGAAGACCCAGAAAAGATTGAGGAGAAAATACCCATTTACAATAACAATGGAGACATCTAACAGGAATCGGAGATTTGCAGCCTGAGTCAGAGCATGTTCACTACCACCATGACCAGAGACGACGATGATGAGGTCCATCAAAGGGTGTTTAGATTTTTTTAATCTGTAAATAGTTGGGCTTCTTATTAAATCCTTAAAGTTGGGCTTCTCATGAAACCCCTAGTTTGGCATTAAAATATCTTAGCCATTTCTTTCTGAAATAACTTGGGTCTCCAAAACGGAAAGAACATGGGTCTCCAAGCGTAATTCCGGTCTGAAGTAACTTCACTAACAGCGCACACACCCACACTACAGAGAGAGGCGGGGGCATTTCTTTATCAACCAAACCAAACGCCGTCGTCGTCAGCCATCAGGTACTTGTTGTGCTCCATTGATGTACGAAAATATGTATAGAATTGTCCTCTGCTGAACATTTGCTATTGGGTGCTAGTAATTTCTACATGCTTCTAGGATTTCTGTAATTGGTTTTATATAAGGGTCTTCACTAATATACCCAAAATAGTTGAAATTATAAAAAAAAAAAACCCCACATGGAATGCACTTTAGAAACACACCCCAAATTCATTTACTATATAAGAAATTGGTGTTGAAATTCCTATAAATTACAGGACTGTCACTGATGCCCAACAGAAAAAGAAAAGAAAAACTCAAAAAACACCCAAAACAAACCCAACCCAATTTTATAAACAAGCCCAAACTTTTTTTTTTTTTTGTTACAAAAAGTCCAAACATTTTATTACAACACAAAACTGTCTCGAAAACAGTAACTTCAAGCATGCATCTTTATTAAACCATCTCTGAAAAACATCTCTTCATTTCACCGTCTTCATCATTTATGCAAACTAAAACTCCATAACTACAACAAAGCTTGATCTACTTTCAAAAACCAACACCACACACTAACCTCCACCTACAAAACAAAGATAAAATTTCAGAGAACAATTTCAATAAGAAAAGGCTTCAAAGGTAAGACATTTAAAAACCAAACTTTTATTGTAATGTTAATTAATTGTTGTAAAGTTCCAGTCTATGGTAATAACAATATTTTATATTCGAATCCAAGACAAAATTTTGAAACTATATTGAATTTTCACTATTGGACTAACTGCATATGACTATAAAATAGTCGGTTTTCAGAAACTCAAAAAAGAAAGAGATATTTAGTCATATACTCATTCTTAACACTGCTAGTTTACTTTCATGTTAATTAATATGTAAAATTCTAGTATAGGGTAATAACACTGATTGTTTCCTCTAAAATCCTATTTGGAATGCATGTCTACCACCGTAAAGTTCCAGTACAGGGTAATAACACTGCTTGTTTCCAATGAAATCCTATTTTGAATGCATGTATAATACTATAAAGTTCAAGTACAGGGTAATAACACTGCTTGTTTCCTATGAAATCCTATTTATAATGCATGTCTACCATTGTAAAGTTCCAATATAGGGTAATAACACTACTAGATTCTTCTGAAATCCTATTTCTAATGCATGTCTACCTCTTGTAAAGTTCCATTATAAGGTAATAACACTGCTAAATTCCTCTGAAATCCTATTTCTAATGTATGTCTAACTCTTGTAAAATTCCAATATAAGGTAATAACACTGCTAGATTCCTCTAAAATCCTATTTCTAATACATGTCTACCTCTTGTACAATTTCAGTATATGGTAATAACACTGCTAGATTCCACTGAAATCCTATTTCTAATGCATGTTTACCCCTTGTAAAGTTCCAGTATAGGATAATAACACTGCTAGTTTCATATAAAATCCTATTTCTAATGCATGTCTACCACTGTAAAATTCCAGTATAAGGTAATAACACTGCTTGTTTCCTATTAAATCCTATGTCTAATGCATGTCTGTAAAGTTCCAATATGAGATAATAACACTGCTATATAACAGCAAATTATAGTCGACTCAAAACCAATAGTGCATAAACAAAAAAAACACGAATATACTCAGATTCAATTGAAAAAAACATACCTCAATTAATATGATAACATAATCAAATATCACAAATTTGTAACACAGCTCAAACCAAAACACAAAAGCAAATCCACAACCAAACTGAATTTGAAATCAATCCAAATTATAAACAAAAAGAAATTAAAATCACAATTTAAAACTCAAACGAATATCTAATACAAATTAGAACGAAATTAGAAAATCCAATAGCTTATCTCCAAATCGATAATAACAAAAATAAACATATAAAATCAAGAAGAATTGGATCTACATTTCAAATTTAAACTCCAAAGCTGCAAAAATTATGAAAACTTAACCAGTAACTTAATTAATCAAACATGAAATCACCCAAATCAGACTACAATAAAATCGAAAAAGTCCCTACAATACCTATACCAACATATTCAGACTAACAAGGGGAGTAATTTTTTGTTTTGGACCCCGGCCAAAAAGTGGCCGGAGCAATCCGGAACACTGCCAAAGCCGTCGGTCAAACTAGGGTGTATTGATTAATTTCCAAAACTCCAAAATCTATCCTAACCACATACATAAATAGCTTGAGCACGAAAATTAGATAAAGTTTCATACCTCGATCGATGGAAACAACAGCCGGAGTGGCCGGAAACGACGTCGGAAAACTTGAAATCCACAGACCTTTTTGAGCTCGCAGCGGCGTCATCAATGGCTGATGTGGCTGGGCTTTAGCCCAGACTTGATCGTCGGCCCTGGCAGATCCTTTTCCGATCGCTGTCACTGTTGGCTGTGGCCGGAGCACCAAGATCGTTGGCCTAGGCTTGGTTTCTGCGAAGGGAGAGAGAGAGAGAGAGAGAGAGAGAGAGCCCAAAAATTTTCAAAAAAACTAATTTAATACTAAATGGGTAATAAAGGTATTTCATTTAAGTAATTAAACTAAAAAATGTAACAGCTGTCAGTTTGGGTATTTTTTGGGTGTGTTTCTATGTTTAGTGTATGGTATATTTATAGTTTCATGTCTAGGAATGGGTGTTTCACTAATTTTGTATTTTATATATGCATGTTTTACCTTTTTTTTTAGATGACTAAAAGGCAGATTTTGATCCAACAGTCGGCATTTGTTTTTGGTTTAATATGGATTTTATGAATGTACTGTGGATTGTGAATCTCTCATGGATTTGATAATCTGAACCTACTGATGGCGATGCCATATTATAATTAGGTCCCTTCATTTACAAAAATTGAAAATTTAACTGATTACTTTGCCAGTTTCTTGTTCAATTTGCAACTGGTTTTTGTTTCTCATTAGTCATCTCAAGCATGACTTGGGTTGGTGCTGAATTTGATGGTTTCTTAAATTTTTGTTTTTAAAAAATATATGAATTCAGTAGCCATGAAGGTGCGTTCCTCTGTGAAGAAGATGTGCGAGTTTTGTAAGACAGTTAAACGTCGCGGGGGTGTTTATGTGCTTTGCACAGCCAATCCCAAGCATAAGCAAAGACAGGGCATGTCAACATTTGCATACGAAGGCACGGTGTCTTCCATGTACGTTTCCTTCATGCTTTCATTTCTCTTTTTTTATACTTTTATATGTCTACTTTGACAAATTCTTCTGATTGCGTTAATCTTAAAAGGAAACATCCCATTCAGAATCTACCATGTCCGTAATCTAAGACAGAACAAAACATGTTACACGAATTCACGCTAAATTTGTTGGAATCCCACATCGGTGGAGTGAAAGAAAACAAATGGGTTTAAATAGAATTACCACACTCTAACTAATACCGAGGCCTTTTATGATAAAACCTCACACCTGACGGATTGGGAGGGTGGTAAAGTAGGGACAGTATCGGTGTTGTTAGAGTGGGACCCAACGGGCAGATCCAAATTTTCAACATGGTATCAGAGCCAGGTTCGTACAAGCTAACGACGCTTGTCACCCAAAAAAAAAAAAAAAAAAAAAAGGGAAACAAGTGGGCCTAATGAAAATGCCAACGAAGCTTGAAAAGAGCCGACCTCTGAGTTCCATTGAAAACAAGTGGGCCCAACGAGAGCCGACCTCTGAGTTTCAATTGCCGATGTGTGGATCTTCACGTGTGATTACACGTGAGGGGGAGTGTTGGAATCCCACATCGGTGGAGTGAAAGAAAACAAATGGGTTTAAATAGAATTACCACACTCTAACTAATACCGAGAAAACGAGAGAATATCAACACAAAAAAAAAAAAAAAAAAAAAAAAAAAAAAAAGGGAAACAAGCGGGCCTAATGAGAGCCGACCTCTGAGTTCCATTGAAAACAAGTGGGCCCAACGAAATCTTCCCTAACACCTGGAGATCCCTTGCCCCTTGTAAATTTGTTGTACATAATTCGTTGGGTGGTTTTACTAAGTGATTCTTGGATACTTCTTATCATAGGCACGCAGGTTAAGCACACAAAAGGCACTTTTCCTGCTATATGTGGACCTTCATTTGGCAGGCCTGCATAAGGTGGCCGGGAGCCTCCTTTTGTATAATAAATGTTATCTCCATAGAACAAAACTCATAGCGGCTACAATGCTTTTAGTCATCAATTTGGCAGAAGAGAAACAACAATTTATGGAGTCAAGGATTTAAGTTACTGCGTTGTCTAATTCTAACTTCTGAGATGGTGGTTGCCATTTTTTTCCACTATTGTATCTAGCTTACCTGCTTCATGTGGTGTTCTTCATGCATGTGTGTCTATAATCTTACTTTTTGCTGATATGAAGGTAGCCCTTTTCAGTTTTTCATTAGTTCTGTCTGCATATAGCATGAATTTAGTCATGTGTAAAGATTTTAAGAACTTAAGAACATGTTAGTAGTAACCTAACATGTGAATCTGTATGTTCACAAACAGACTGCTGCATATCTGTATGTAGATATCTCACATGCGAATCTTTCTCGTACACATGAACTTCCTATAGAAATGTGATGTGGCAGTGGAGTGAAATTGGCAATTTTCTAGTTGAATGTTTGAATCCTTTTCAGGTACGCAGAGACTAGTGCCAAGCTGGAGAACAGCTCTGGTCACAGCATGCAAGCAGGTCTGGCCTCTCTGATACCCAAAAAGCATGAACCCTCGATGCCCTCTATACCCTCTACGATACTTGGATGGAGGGTGGGCCTGGCCTCCCTGCTGTTCAACAAGGCCAAGAAGCTTTGAAATTTGAAATGGGACCTTATCTCAGTTTTTAGGTTCCTTTCTTTGGTTGTGCTGCCAGATATATTCAAAATGTTATAAGCTCCTCTTTTTCTCTTGGATTTTAGCTTTTAATCAGCTACTATATATAATACTTCCATCTCTCCCCCGCTCGCTGGTGTGTGTGTTTAGACCTAGCTGTGCTAGAGATTCTGATCGTAGGCCTGCTCCACATATATAATTCAGGAAATGAGATGGCTCGAATTGTAAAGGACACTTTATCAGATTTCCTGGAAAAGAATTAGATGGTATGAAAGTGAAACGTAATTTGGATGTTGCAAGAGTTTTCTTTTCAAGTTCATTTTACAGATCATATGGAACCAAGTTAGCGAATCCATATCAAATTATGAACTATGCGGATAGGTCGACCCATCTCTCATAAGTCATACCCGAAAGGCGAACCTTTATGTATGTTAATTGACCAAAAAATAGAAAAAAACACAAGAGTACCCAATCTACATAAAAACCTAATAATATTATTCAGGCATCAACATTGTCACCGGAGTCATTTTATGATAAGGGTGCCGTATATGGATTATAAATGTGGACCTTTATATTAGTTGCGGGATCCATTTAAATAGTAACTTTCACAAATTCATTTAAATAGTATCTTCACTTGAGTTTAATGCAATGATATTATGGCTAATATAAAGATTCACATAAGAGGTACATTAATCACAAGGTTTGCAATTCGTGAGGTTTTTCTTCATCAGTTGTCATTTCAAACTTAATGCTTACTGGAAATTGTCTGGCACTGACATCTATAACCGGTGGGGGATCACGAAACAGCTTTCTATTATTAATGAAGTGTTCAATTCGCAAGGTAGCACTCATCAGCACAAGCTTTAACGGAAAAACTTGCTGTCCAGGACTTATAGTTCTTCCTGAAAGCACCGCCTTTTGCTGCTCTGCATACTCTTCCTGCCATCATATGCAAACGAGAATAATAATAAAAAAAGGGATTATAAACCTTGATTAATACAAGTTTTAGCAGTTATAAACACCACTCTCTAGCTTTTCCTGACGAGCACTATTACACCAGATAGCATTCCGATAAGTAAGTCTGTGTTCAACCTCCGCTCATGAACCTCATCAAGAATTATGACAGAGTATCGCTTAAACTTACAAGACGCTTTTTGTAAAAGCATCTGCAACTTATCAGATGCTTTTTGTAAAAGCATCTGGAACTTATCATATGCTTTTTTCAAATTTCGGAAACATATTTTATAAAATCGGCCTAGGCGCCCGCCTAGGCGGCTAGGCGGGTCTGGGCGCGTGCAGGTCGGGTCGGTTTATTTTTATTTTTATTACGTGAGAATTGATGACTGAGACAGAGGTTGGGCCCGACATAGTTTGCTGGCCTTGAAGCCCAATAAAGGCCCACCACCAACGTGGATACGGGTTGGGCCCAACATACTTGGTTCACGGAAACAGAGGTTTACAGTCAGCCATCAGGTACTTGTTGTGCTCCATTGATGTACGAAAATATGCATAGAATTGTCCTCTGCTAAACATTTGCTATTGCGTGCTAGTAACAAAGACTTTTACTCCTTGACCTGATAAAACCTTGGATAAGACGCAAAGCCAACTATCAACAACGTACACAGAGAAAACATATGAAAAATGGCCAAACATGCATGCACCATTTTGATTGAGGTCATTGTGGGTCTGTCTGATAACTCTTACTGAACATATGAAAAATGAAAATTTGGTGGTCAATTTTGTTTTTATAGAAATATGGCAAATAAGGACAGAGGAGAAAATAGAATAGAGTCCTTCGCATTTCTCTTCTCTGTTTCTTTTTTCTTCCATCGTCATGTGAGCGTAGGCTCATTTCTGAAGCTTTGGGCTTTGTGGCCGTGGATGAGACATGGCAAGCAAGAGATTGGAGAAAAGTAAACCAACCAAAACATGTAGAAGCAGAATGGGCAACTGAAATTTTTATTGGTTTATATACATATATGTATCATGATGAGCTTCTTTGTCTGGCTGCTGTTGTTGCATTTTGTTGCAAAGGAGGGTTCAGTATGTTGTTTGTGGGGGCCCATGCCTCCCTGACCTGATAAAACCTTGGAATTGGAATGGTTTATTTCCGATCCGATCCGGCCGAAAGGCAGCCCTATCTCCTCCCAACAACCCATGATAATATGTACGGGTCGCAATTTCCGACACGATCCATTATACAACTTGAAACTTGCATGGAAAAATTTCGGGTCAATCTGCCAACTTGCTAAATACCTATTTAACTGGTTTTAAAAAAATGAAAACACAATGAGTTTTGAACCCACTCCACTTCCATTCATCTCCAACGTCTTATCCATCATGCTACACAACCTTATAATTATAAGTTATACAATTTGATATTTATAATGTTTCTACAAGCTATTTATAAAAAAAAAACATAGAATTTCACATGTCTTTTTTCTTTCTAATTAAATTTATATATATATATATATATATAATCCCCTTCTATTGAGGGATTCCTCAAATAGTTTTATTTGAGGGACACCCTTTAGGGTTCCATACTAATTTTTTTTTTCAACGATCCAAACAGTATCTATTTTTGAAGTCTATATTCATAGATCATCATTGCAAAAAATTAAACAAATTGAAAACCGTTTTGACATCCAATTATGTCCTACAAAATCAATGAAACCGGTGCTTCAAGAAAATACTAAAATTTTAATAATTCAATTGAGTGGTCAAATAATATCAGATTCAAGTGTTTTTTTTATTTTTTTATTTTTATTTTATAGAAATGATCTTTGAATGAATATCTACAAAATAGATTGTTTGGATTAGTAAAGTATAATACGAAGTAGGCCTTACAAGAATGTCCTTCAAATAAGTTTATTTGAGGAATTCCTCAACTGAAGCTC